GGAATCCTCATCCACCTTCAAAAGGGTTGGAGTAATCCTTTAAGAGTATTTGCAGGATATTTGCTGAAGGGATTTCTGATTTTGGGAGAGGGTTTTTATTAAACCGAGAATTGCCGGGAATACTTCGTGAATTCGAGGTGCATTTCAAATCTTAGACAAAAATAGTTAAAATGGAAAAATTCTCTAAGTCAACAAAAATTTGAAATTCACTTTAATTTTCACTTTGACAATTCTCACCTACGTGCATAACCCTGTTTGTTTCTCTATTTCACAAACATTGTAGTTATGTAGATACCATAATTATGTTTTAGGAAGTATTTTACTTCTGCAAAAAATACCACAGGCCTCATTGTTCCTTTTATAAATTGCACGATTATTCATTCATCTATCTTGTGTTCACTTCCCAGGACACACCAGTGTCAACCAAATATGTAAGATAGATGTATAATTAAGCACATTAACCATGTTTGATACCCCCACTAAGTATAGACGAGTCCACTTAAATATAATTGGTGACATCAGTGACCCTTACTACTAATTCTATCACCTACTACAAAAAAAGAACTCACTAACTATGCTTTCTACATTCCACAGATCCCCTCTTTTCTTTGCTCTGGATTGATATAGAGCCACTATACCACAGGTAGTGAGGAAATCAATCTTATTAGGAAACTGATACATTTCTCTCAGTCGTTCTACTGGTTTGGGGAAATCCTCCTAATTCACATGGCTGTTGGGCATGGAGCCCATGGCGATCTTCCTTTTTCAGTCTCCAAACCTCTAGGAGGTAACCACATTCTCTAACCTGGATCTATCCCCTAAACTGGGTTGTACATTCTAAGTAATCTACTACAAGGCAATTCTAGCATGCCAAAGAGGCTCAGTTACTTCTATTTGTTTCCCCCATGGCACAGATGACAATACATTGTCTACTTCTTACATGTGTTTATTGTGCCACTGCCTCTACTGAGACTGTCCCCACTGCAATGTTTGCTAGGCATGTGCATGGGGGAAATTTTCAGTTCGGTTCAGCATTCCGAAATTCTGGATTTTCGCAATTCGGGACTTCGGCAATTCGGCACTTCAACACTTCGGAACTTTGGCAACTTCGGCACTTCGGAACTTCGGCACTTGGGAAATTCGGCAACTTCGGCACTTCAGCACTTCGACACTTCGGCATTTCGGAACTTCGTCATTTCGGAATTTTGGGACTTCGGCACTTCGGGACTTCTATTGCAGCATCTTAGTAGATAACTCCCTAATTCCCACGGTATTAGGGAGCTATCTACCAAAAGGCTGAAATACCTAAATTAGTCTTTCAGCCAAATTTACTAATACTAAGTAAAAATACTCGCTATACCGCGAGTAGGGGCATGTCTAGTAAACAGCCTGTGGCTGCTCACTGTTTAAAAAAAAAAAAAGGACCCCCCTCCCGAGCCCTCATCCGCGACGCACGAGTGGGGCCTTTTAAACTAAAGGGGGGACCTATTGCCCCCCCGGCCCCCACCCCTGAGCGGCGGGTGGGGGCCCTAAAGTAAAATGATGGGGGGGACCTATTGTCCTCCCCCCCGGCCCCCACCCCTGAGCGGTGGGTGGGGGCCCTACATACTAATAAGGGGGGGGGAACCTAAGGTCCTCCCCCCTGGCCCCCATCCCTGAGCGGTGGGTGGGGGCCCTAAAATACTAATAAGGGGGGAACCTAATGTCCTCCTCCTGGCCCCCACCCCTGAGCGGCAGGTGGGGCCCTAAATACCAATGGGGGGATCTATTGTCCTCCCCCCGACCACCTCCCCTGTGTGGCGGGTGGGGGCCTTAAAAAAAATGTTCCCCCCCAGGTGACTAGGGGTCCCCAAACCCCTAGTCACCCCCTCCCCCGCTCAGGGGTGGTGGCCGAGGGGGGGGCAATAGGTTTAGTTTAAAAGCCCCCAGTGAGCGGGCATAGGCTGCTCACTGTTTAAAAGACATGCCCCTACTCGCAGTATATCGAGTAGGGGCATATTTACTAATAATCTTTACTTAGTATTAGTAAATTTGGCTGAAAGACCAATTTAGGTCTTTCAGCCTTTTAGTAGATAGCTCCCTAATACCGTGGGAATTAGGGAGTTATCTACTTATTCATTCCTGTCATTACATTGACAGGCTAAGTAACTTACATTTTATATGAATGTATGTTACTTGATTGTTGTAAGTGTTGCAAATGCTTACAGCTGAATCCTGGCTATGTTTGTATTCTTTTTATTTAAAAATGTATACAATGTAACATTCTTCTTCTTTCACTGGGTAAGTATATTAGTACTTAGGCAATACTGTGCTTCGCTACTTTGGCACTTCGGGACTTTACCCGAAGTACCCGAATGTCCGAATTTCCTGAAATTCGTCCGAATTCGTATTTGGACCGAAACGTTTGCCTTTCCTATATAGGCTCAAACCGTACTGCTCCTATCTATTTATGTAAATATAACCCTTGTGAGGAAGCAAACCACATTAACAGGAAGATGGTTTACATATTTTTAAAGGCAATCAATGCAAAGTCTAGATGTGTGAAGTCATAAATATATATTTACTCAGTCTCAGTCTCAGGTTACATTAGCTAGATTTAGATTTACAGCAGGCTGTCTCATTCCAAGTGGGCTGTGAGCACTCATGGTGATAATGACCCTCTTTCTTCTCCATATGTTTTTATTAAACATCACAGTACACTGTCAGCGTTATTCACTAAAGTCTAAATCTAATCTAGTTTTGATAGCAGAAATAATCTGGGACAATCGAGTGACATTCAGAGGCAAAAATCCACACATTATTCACAACATTAAACAGTATTCAAATATAGAAGCTACCAAATTGACATTAATTTATGTAGGATTTTAGACCCTCTGAATACTTTAAAACATTTGAAGTCCAAAAGTAAGCGATGGATTTACGCAACTGGACAAAGTTAATTCTGTTGTTCTAAACTCACTGATGGTCAGTTGGCGAATTGTATCATATATTGGAACCGCTATGATACCCCTAGTTACCACTTCAAAAGTCTTAAATCAAAGGATTTAGCAGGGCTGACCATACAGGAATCTTTAGCAATAATATTAAATAATTGGTAAGAGTTTCTCTAATTAAAATATATAAATAATTGCGAATACAAAAAAAAAAAAAAAAAAGTTTTGTCTTTTAAAATATTTTATTAAATATAAATAAAAACGTAATAACCCATTATAATAATTTACAGTAGAGTTTGTAAGATTAAAGTATATGGTTGCAATATCAGTAAAATAGAATAACATACCTTCTTGAACAAGTCAACCTTTCAGTCTTGTTGACTGCATCCCAAATTATCCCCTCTGTGTCCCTAATATTAATGAGTAGACATATTTAAACCTAGTGATATTCAATTAGATCATGTTAGGAAAATTTTAAATCTTAAGTATAAATCAATCCCTATGTGAAAATTATAGGAAAACAGATAAACAAATCTGATCTACCTTAAAGGAACATTATAGGGTCAGGAACACAAACGTTTTCCTGACCCTATAGTGTTAAAACCACCATTTAGGAGACTTGTACCCCCTCCCTTAAAATGTAATAAAACTTACCTTATTCCCAGGGCCGCGTGGGTCCGCCGGCGCTGGCCAGGACTCTGAGCCGCCTCCTTGCTGACATGATCAAAATTTATGATTTCAGCCAATCCAATGTTTTCCCATAGGTAAGCATTGGATTGGCTGAAATTGACTAGGAGGCAGGACAGGACCAGGGGCAAACACCTGCTTCACCAATCAGCATCTCTCCATAGAGATGTATTAAATCAATGCATCTCTGTGAGGAAAGTTCAGTGTCTGCATGCTGAACGTGGAGACACTGAATGGCAGCACTGGCCCAGGAAGCACCTTTAGTAGCCATCTGAGGAGTGGCCAGTGGAGGTGCCCCTAGGGGGCAATGTAAACACTGCATTTTCTATGAAAAGGCAATGCCTGCAAGAAATGATTATACTCCCCAGAACAACTACATTAACCTGTATTAGTTCTGGTGACCCTAGTGCCCCTTTAACTTGACAAAGAGACAAGGACATGACCATTAAATGACATAGCATTGACATGGTCATTGCACATGGAAACATCTTAATCAATCTGTTGTCTTCATTGACATCTTACTGACATCTTATATATGTTTGGCCTAAAACTTAAGGCTGAACATGAGGTAGACAATGCCTTGACTTGGTGTCAGTGTCACATTAACCTAGGACAAGATGGCGTCTTAAAGTCTAAACATATTATGCACTGAATCTGAGTACATATAGAGATAAGATTTTTTTTAGAGAACCAGATGGAAAAAGTTGTAATTAGCACCAGATGGATTGCTAGCTGGGTGACAGTGGGGCGAGGAAGGGGGGGGAGGGGGGGGAGGAGGAGAAGGAAAGAGGAAAGGGCTAGCTAGTCCTGATTTAGTGCAACCTAGCAGATTTGCCCGTTTGAGCGAAGATGTTGGGAGCATCAGCTCAGGAGTAGCTGTATTAGAGGAAACTGTTACTTCTAACCAGGGCCAGATTAAGAGCCCAGTGGGCCTGGTGCTGACAATTATTATGGGCCTAATTATAGAATCTTATCGACCAAAAACACTAAAACAGTCCTACCTCCCAAGTGGAGATTTTAATTACCCGGACATAAATTGGGACAGAGGGACTAGTAGCTCAGCAAAGGGAATTAGGTTTTTGAACTTGTTAAATGACACCTTCATGTCACAACTTGTACAAGCACCAACTAGAAAGGATGCTTGTCTGGAACTGGTTTTAACAAACAACGTTGATTTTTTGACCAACATTCAAGTAGGTGAGCACTTGGGAAATAGTGATCACAATATAGTGTCCTTTGAAATAAACTCAAAAAAACAAAAGCACACAGGGTATACTAAAACATATAATTTTAAAAAGGCCAATTTCTATAAGTTAAGGGCAGCTTTACAATATATTGACTGGCATAAACTCTTTAGTGAAAAGAACACTGAGGATAAATGGAACATCTTCCAACAAATATTAGAAAGGTACATTTCTAAGTATGTACCATTGGGTAATAAATATAAAAGAAACAAATTGAAACCAATGTGGCTTAGTAGAGAAGTAATACAAGAGGTTCAAAATAAGAAAAGGGCATTTAAATCGGACAAATCAGATGCATCCTATAAAAGATATAAGGAAGCCAATAATGTGTGCAAAAAGGCGATTAGATTAGCTAAACTTTAAAATGAAAAAATGATAGCCAAAGAGAGCAAAACCAACCCCAAAGCATCTTTAAGTACATAAATTCTAAAAAAAGACAGGAATTTTAAATAACTATTTCTCCTCCGTATATACAGGGAGTGCAGAATTATTAGGCAAGTTGTATTTTTGAGGATTAATTTTATTATTGAACAACAACCATGTTCTCAATGAACCCAAAAACTCATTAATATCAAAGCTGAATATTTTTGGAAGTAGTTTTTAGTTTGTTTTTAGTTATAGCTATGTTAGGGGGATATCTGTGTGTGCAGGTGACTATTACTGTGCAATTATTAGGCAACTTAACAAAAAACAAATATATACCCATTTCAATTATTTATTATTACCAGTGAAACCAATATAACATCTCAACATTCACAAATATACATTTCTGACATTCAAAAACAAAACAAAAACAAATAAGTGACCAATATAGCCACCTTTCTTTGCAAGGACACTCAAAAGCCTGCCATCCATGGATTCTGTCAGTGTTTTGATCTGTTCACCATCAACATTGCGTGCAGCAGCAACCACAGCCTCCCAGACACTGTTCAGAGAGGTGTACTGTTTTCCCTCCTTGTAAATCTCACATTTGATGATGGACCACAGGTTCTCAATGGGGTTCAGATCAGTGAACAAGGAGGCCATGTCATTAGATTTTCTTCTTTTATACCCTTTCTTGCCAGCCACGCTGTGGAGTACTTGGACGCGTGTGATGGAGCATTGTCCTGTATGAAAATCATGTTTTTCTTGAAGGATGCAGACTTCTTCCTGTACCACTGCTTGAAGAAGGTGTCTTCCAGGAACTGGCAGTGGGACTGGGAGTTGAGCTTGACTCCATCCTCAACCCGAAAAGGCCCCACAAGCTCATCTTTGATGATACTAGCCCAAACCAGTACTCCACCTCCACCTTGCTGGCGTCTGAGTCGGACTGGAGCTCTCTGCCCTTTACCAATCCAGCCACGGGCCCATCCATCTGGCCCATCAAGACTCACTCTCATTTCATCAGTCCATAAAACCTTAGAAAAATCAGTCTTGAGATATTTCTTGGCCCAGTCTTGACGCTTCAGCTTGTGTGTCTTGTTCAGTGGTGGTCGTCTTTCAGCCTTTCTTACCTTGGCCATGTCTCTGAGTATTGCACACCTTGTGCTTTGGGCACTCCAGTGATGTTGCAGCTCTGAAATATGGCCAAACTGGTGGCAAGTGGCATCGTGGCAGCTGCACGCTTGACTTTTCTCAGTTCATGGGCAGTTATTTTGCGCCTTGGTTTTTCCACACGCTTCTTGCGACCCTGTTGACTATTTTGAATGAAACGCTTGATTGTTCGATGATCACGCTTCAGAAGCTTTGCAATTTTTAAGAGTGCTGCATCCCTCTGCAAGATATCTCACTATTTTGACTTTTCTGAGCCTGTCAAGTCCTTCTTTTGACCCATTTTGCCAAAGGAAAGGAAGTTGCCTAATAATTATGCACACCTGATATAGGGTGTTGATGTCATTAGACCACACCCCTTTTCATTACAGAGATGCACATCACCTAATATGCTTAATTGGTAGTAGGCTTTTGAGCCTATACAGCTTGGAGTAAGACAACATGCATAAAGAGGATGATGTGGTCAAAATACTAATTTGCCTAATAATTCTGCACTCCCTGTATTAAGGAAAAACCCATGGCAATAGATGTGCAAATGATTGCTGCTAAAAATTTGCAGAATAATTGTGATTGGTTAACTCAAGACAAGGTGCTGCAGCAACTAAAGAAAGTTAATATAAACAAAGCTCCAGGGCCTGACGGTATTCATCCACGAGTACATAAAGAACTAAGTGCAGAAATAAGTGAACCTCTGTTTTTAATCTTTCTAGATTCTTTTCTTTCAGGAAGTGTTCTGCAGGATTGGAGGAAGGCAGGTGTGGTTCCTATATTCAAAAAAGGGTTCAAAATCCTTGCCTGGAAATTATAGACCTGTAAGCTTGTATGTACGTAGTGGGCATTGGATAGCATTCCCTTCATCCCCCATAAAACCATAACTTACCCCTTCAAATAACGACAGACAACTTCTTGGAGAAAACAGGCCACAGCATTTATTAACACAACCAAATACTGTATGACTCCTTTAACATATAACGAAATAATAAATATCATAAATTAACATAAACTATTTGCATATTGTCATACAGTAACCAAAGAAACCGTCCCTGCCAATCTAACTTCCCCAAGGCTCTCACCTCCCCCCCTCGGCATAATAAAAACATCTTCCTTTTCAGGGCTCCCCACCAACTCGGTGGGGCCCAACCATAATGCTCCCCACTGGTCGACTTACAACCCAGTGGGGACACGTCCAACCTGGTACCTTCTCCAGGTTCACCATAAGAGACAGGGGGAGGATGAGACCAGGCCATAATCCCCCCTTTTCATCTAATCTACCAAACCATCCCTTATTTGGCAAGGACACACCCCCACCACAACCCCGCTGTTTTAAGCCTAAAATCAGCGTGGGACCCCAAACAAACCAACCATGGCCTGTTCCACCATCTCTAGAATGGCCAGATTAAAACGGTCGAGCCCGACCTCAGTCAAATGAACCCCATCCGGCCGCAACAAATCTGCCGCCTCCTTCTCAAAACCTGATGAAATGGGCATCCCCCAAACCCCTATAATGAACCGCGAAACCCAACGGTTGAACCCTTCGCGGCAGCGCTCCAACGCACTCCAGATGTGTGCCTGCCGCCAATAGTACCTCGCCACAACCTCCGACCACACCATGCAAAAAAAAAACAGAAATGACATAAGGATCTGGGACAAGTCCCGCTTTCCTATGTCCACCAAGTCTCCGAACGGCACCGTCCCCAGGTCAGTAACCCCCAGGAGGAATGACCAGAACCAATGACACCCACCCGCAAGCGAGAGAACCTGACCACTTCCAGGAGGAGCCAGACCCACTTCACGTCCCCCCGGTGCTGATCGAGTGCTCAATCATCCGCCCTGAGAAGGAAAAAAACAAACAAATCAACGGAGCAAACCAGCGTGCTGCACACCGGAACAAATCTCCTAGAGTCCGACCTTCTTATCCTCCGCACATCCCGAGTCAGCATACCCAGTGGAGAGGCCTCCGTCGCAGCGCCAATGCGGAAAGAATGACTGCCAAACAAATTGAAAATGGGAGAGGAAGTTCCCCTCCTCGTGTACCATGATCGGGCCAGCCAGGTACAGCCGTACTGCGGACTCCCTGAGGGCCCAGACCAGACAGGCATCCAATCCTGGGACCGCTGCCAGCGGGACCCACCTGCCCTTGCAAAGGATGTCGGTCTTGTATGGACGAGTCTTGACGGACACCGGGCCCTGACCATCCCGGACATCCGCAAACAGAATCCTTCCCTACCGGCTGACCAGTTCGGACCCACCAATACCCCAATCCTTATGGCCCCAAAGAAATGAAGAAACGCGAGGCATACCCCTGGGAGCACCTGGCACAATTGTGGCCCCCAAAACCGTCCTCTTTGGATCCACAGAAATCGACCCCTGCCATACCAGAAACTCTGTGGTGACCGCCACCCAACCCTGGGACTTAACCAGAAAACTAGACTGGACACGCGCAAGGACACCCCGGAGGGCGACATATCCACCGAAACCCAACGCTCCAGTCACAACAGACCTTAAAATGAGCAGGCGAACCCGCAAATACACCCATCTCTGACTCCTGCACCTGCCATTTCACCCATACCCTGGAGTACCTTGGCCCAAGAGGAACAGGACCTATACGACACATGAAGACACAGGCACCGTAGCACCAGGCGCTGGAGCAGGGGAAGTACCAAAAGAGAAAAGGGGGACTGAGAGCTGGCTAACAGTGAATAACAACCGACTGTCCTGTAGCTCCCGACCCCATATATCCAATGCCACCACAACGGGAAAGCTCCAGGAAGGCAAGATTCCCGGTCAAGCCGCCGACCATGTCAGCACACTAGCGCGATCCCAGAATCGCTCCAACCAGACAGAGCCAGCCGCGTCCATATAGAGGGGCAAGTCAGAACTGGACACCTCCGGCGCCTGCCAAGATGACCTTTCAATATACTCGGTCAGGAAGGAAACCCAGACTTCCAGAGCCTGAAAAAATGCTGCAGTCCCGGTAGTAGTGACCACCAGGCGCCTGCGGGACAATTGCCTCATGGGCCTGATCCGGCAGTGGAAGGTCAACCTCCCTAACAGGGACTGCAACTTGCACAGCTGCATCCTCCTCAGACCCCTGGCCATCGCCACACCCTATCAATCATATCCCGTGGCAGCCAGCACTCCATGGTCACAGAGTAAATTTTGATACCCAAGGAGCTAAGGCACGTCACTCGGCTGCACTGTCTTATCGTGCTCTAAGAGGACCCTAAAGTTCCGCCGAGTCGATCAAGACTCGACAAGTCAGCGAAGGCCCACACACAAAAGCCATCAAGGTAACGCAGCAACGAGCCAATCCTTGCCTCCCGCCGCACCACCCACTCCAGGAAACCACTGACACACTCAACGTAAAAGCAGGACATGAACAACACATCGGGAAGCACGTATCCACATAATACCGACCACAAACCCACCACCCAGGAGGATGACAATCCATATGAACTGGCAACAAGATGGCTCTGACGTCGGCCTTCGTTAGCAAAGACCCAGGGCCCACTGCTCCGACCATGCGTACCGCAGCATCGAAGGATGCCTAGGACGCCCAACATCTTTCACCGAAACCCCTTGAGGGCAGGGCAAACGATGAATCAGATGAAAATCCCCTGCTTCCTACTTGGGCACCAGGCCCAAGGGGGACCTGCAACTTGGGAAGCGACGGGGCCTCAACTGACCCCGCAAACCACCCCAAAGCTACATCCCGCAGGAACTCATCCAGCACCATCTGCAGGAAGTCGAGCACAGACTTAGAAACATAAATATAGAATGTGACGGCAGATAAGGACCATTCTGCCCATCCAGTCTGCCCAAATTTCTAACCACTGACATTAGTCCCTGGCCTTATCTTATAGGTAGGACAGCCTTATGCATATCCCACACCTACTTAGACTCCTCTACTGTGTTAACCTCTACCACTTCAGCTGGAAGGCTAGTCCATGCATTCGCTACCCTTCTGTTAACGTAATACATCCGGGTACAATTGTGAAACCTTCGCCCCTCCAATTTAAGACTATGCATTCTTATTTCGGAAGTTTTACTTCTTTAAAACATAGTCTCCTCCCTATTACAGTGATTCCCTTTAAGTATGTAAACTGTCTATCATATAGCGACTTTCACACCGGGCACCCTGAGAAGGGGATCCCGAAGTCTTGGGTGACCCCCTCCAGCAGGGCCCCCATGGCCTGCCGATTCCAATAGCGGTCGAGCCATGGGTGCATCGCACTTACAAGCACTGGCGTCGCCGCCCTGCGCCCCCACTTCCCCTTTTTTCCCGTACTTACCCCTCTTGAAACAGCCGGAGGCAGAATGAGCCCCCACCACGATGGGAGCATTTGAGCTTTAAACAGCACGACACACCCCACTTACATCGGCTGACGTGCAACTCCCCGCAACAACCTGGCCGTTGCTGCGAGGCTGCTGGGGCGGAGTCGCCCCCCCAGGAAAGGAGGACAAACCCTCTTTACGCGCCGCCGGGCGGATTACGATGGAGAGCCAGGGGCCGAAGTCCATCTGATCCCACTCTACAGTGGGCAAAACTGCAAGGCGCTGATTAAATGTTTTTCATAGTGCCACCAACCCAGGCCACAATAAGTATGACATGCATTCCAAGTGGTGTCCTGGTAACAAAACAGCGCCTCTACCCAACCACGCTCTCCAAAATAGCGAACCCCAAACCCAAATCGCCAACGTCTCTGGATTTTCCTATAACGGAACTTTACATCTTCGCCGCCTGAGTCCTATCCCCCTTTGTGCCCCAAGGGAAGAGCATCCCCCCCAGGGGCCAAAGGGGAATATCTTACGTGACTGCGCAGGGGAGAGGGGGGCACAGCCCCCAATGAGGAAGAGGCCCAACTCCTCTCCAATTGTCATGCTGAGGACCGAGGGCACTGCCCCCCACCCACCGGTGGACACACCGTCGCGCCAGGAGGGTACTACACTGAGCGCAGCTGACCGTTACTCTTTGATTTTTTTTATTGATTTTTTTAATTTATTTTTTTGTGTGGTTAGGTCGTAGAAAATTATTATTATTATAATTTTATTTTTTTTAAATAAACCCAACATGAGCGCCTAGCGCAGGCACCCCAGCCAGCACAGGAAAACATTACTCACCTGACGGCACCCCAGGAACTGCTGGCGGCACCATAGAAGAGACAGCAGCTTGAAAAGAGGAGTCCATCACCTGCAGCGCAGTTCCCATGGCAACTGGAGCTTCAGACGCCACCTGCTGGACGGATCCGGCAACTGCACCCAAAGCCTGAAGCAGCAGTGGAGAGAGGAAGAGCCAACGCTCCAGGACAGGAGGCTGCCGAAACAGGTAAGGAGAGGGGGGGTGGGGGGCAAAGAAGGTCAGCAAGGACAATAAAGAGGAGGGAACAAAAAAGGGGGGAGGACAATAAAGAAACAGGAGGAACACAAATAAGAGGGAGACACCACACAGAAAGGGGGGACACAAGAGATGGGAGAAACATTGGAGGGGGGTGAGGGGAAGGGAGCCCACACTGCCCGCGGACCCTGCCTGGGCAAAACAGGGAGGGGAGGGCCGGGACAAGCAGACCCCCCGGGGCCCATGAGGGGGATACAGAAACCCTCCCCACCCCGCGGCAGCGGGCGAGAGCCACCCCGCGTGCCCGGCAGGGGGCCCACTTACCACTGCCGGCCGAGAGGGGAGGACCCCGGGCAGCATCCCACACGCCACCCAGGCCGATTGCCTAGCTTCCGCCCCCCCCCACTACCTCCAGGGGGGGGGCACGGCCCACAGCAGATGCCACCGCACGGACACCAGGGGCGGCGGAAGGACCGGGCGCGGAGCAGGCCGTGCGCCACGTGGTCCAGGTGCGCGGCCCTGTTGAAGCCTCAGGCCCGGGCTGCAGCTCCTGTACCGGGCCCGAGGAGGAGAGTTGGGGCTCACAGAGCCCGAGGGAGGGTGCCCAGGGAGGGTGCCCAGGGAGAGCCAGACCGCTGGGGAGGGGAACCTCACCTCCAGGCTGCTGGGGAAGGAGGAGGCCACCATCTGCAGCACCATTACCAGCCCTGAGGGCAGACAGGATGGCTGTAAAACCAGGATGCAGCATCCAGGGCCCCCAGGCAGAAAATCCAGCAAGCCCAGCAACAGGAGGATCACAGGAAACTTGTTGCTGGCCCGGCTCCTAAGTGGCACTGAGGTCAGTCTGATCTGTCACCACCCACTTCCTCACATCTCACACTCCCACATGTAGCATATAGCCAATCATGCATCATCCATCCCACACTCATACATGTGCCCCTGTCCGCTAAGCTGCACACTCTCCCTGGGGCCTTAACCTCCGTGGCTGGGAAAATATTTTAAAGGTTATTAAGGGATAATATTCAAGAATTCCTTGAGAAGAACATGGTTATCAGCAAAAATCAACATGGTTTTATGAAGCACATGTCATGTCAAACGAACTTGATTGCGTTCTTCAAAGAAGTAAGTAGAAGTATAGATCATGGTGTTGCAGTGGATGTGATCTATTTGCATTTTGCCAAGGCATTTGATACAGTTCCACACAATAGATTCGTGTTCAAACTCAAGGAAATCGGTCCAGATGAAAATACTTGTTCTTAGGTAGAATATTGGTACAAAGAGTTGTCATTAATGGTAAATTTTCAAGCTGGACAGAGGTGGCAAGTGGTGTACCTCAGGGTTCTCTTCTGAGACCCCATCTATTTAACATCTTTATAAATGATCTTGAAAAAAACATTGAAAATCATGTTTCAGTGTTTGCAGATGACACAAAACTCTGTAAAGTAATACAATGAGATAATATTACTTTGCTGCAGAGGGATTTGGATAGACTGGGGGACTGGGCACTCAAATGGCAGATGAAATTTAATGTTGAAAAATGCAAAGTTATGCACTTTGGCGCACTTTTCTCTGAAACTGCTATGTTTACAGCAGAAAGGGTTAATCCTAGATGGACCTGGCACCCAGACCACTTCATTAAGCTGTAGTGGTCTGGGTGCCTATAGTGGTCCTTTAATGGAAGCAAATTAGTAATAACAACACACGAAAAGGACTTGGGATTGTTATAGACAACAAACTATGCAACAATGTGCAATGTCAGTCAGCAGTGGCTAAGGCCAGTAAGGTATTTTCATGCATGAAAAAGGGCATGCATTCTCTGGATGAGAATATAATTTTGTCTCTTTACAAATCACTGGTAAGACCACATATTGAATATGCTGTGCAATTTTGGGCATCTGTTCTAAAGAAGGATATTATGGCACTAGAAAAAGTGCAGAAGCGGGCTACAAAATTAGTTAAAGGAATGGAATATATCAGCTATGAAGAAAAGTTAACAAATTTAAACCTCTTTAGTTTAGAAAAACGTCGCCTGAGAGGGGATATGATAACATTATACAAATACATTCGGGGCCAATACAAACCATTGTGTGGATATTTATTCACAAACTGGACTTTACATAGGATACAAGGCCATGCATTTAGACTGGAAGAAAGAAGATTTTGTCTAAGGCAAAGGAAAGGTTTTTTTACTGTAAGAACAATAAGGACGTGGAATTCTCTGCTTGAAGAAGTGGTTTTATCAGAGTCCATACATATGTTCAAACAGCAACTAGAAGCATACTTGCAAAAACAGAATATTCAAGGATATACTTTTTTAATGTAGGGTAATAGCTACTGGATCCAAGGATAAATCTGACTGCCATTCTGGGGTCAAGAAGGATTTTTTTTCCTAGTTTGTTGCAAAATTGGAAGTGCTTCAAACTATTTTTTTTTTAACCTTCTTTTGGATCAACAGCAAAATACAAATGTGAGGAAGGCTGAACTTGATGGACGCAAGTCTCTTTTCAGCTATGTAATTCATGGAGAGAGATAGCTAGCTCCATAAAGGAGTCGAATATATCCCAAAACCTAAAATTAATTTAAAAAAAAAAACTGACAGAAGTAGGCAACGTTGTTTGTAATAAGACTAACTGTCTTAACGGTCACACCACTGTCTATAGAGAAAAGGAATCGTAGTGACCATATTTATGGGTGCCTCAATATAAATAGGGGATCTGGGGCCCCAGTTCTGCTAATGCAAACACTATGAAAAAAATAAGTTCTAAATCAAATTAATAAAAGAGAAATCACTAGTTCTCATAGATTAGTAAGTCATATTGCTAATGTGGAATTTAGTGAATAAACCTGTGTAAACAACTTTAATAGCAGTATTCTCTATGTACTGTTTACTGTAAATAAAGTTATTTAAATATTTTGTTTATGAACATTTTTAAAACTGAGTTCTAAGAAATAGGTCAGGAAAAGGTCCCTGTTTATATGTATTTCTGTTTATTAGTCGTGCTCCAATAATATCACTTTTTCCTAAAGCCTAACCCAGGCATAGGCAACTTTCGCCACTCCAAATGTTTTGTACTACACCTCCCATGATGCTATGCCAGCATTATGGGTGTAAGAGCATTATGGGGAATGTAGTCCACAACATCTGGAGTGCCGAAGGTTGTCTGTCCCAAGCATAACCTAACGTAGGAGAGAGGTCCAGCTGTCTGTGTATGATACCAGTACGGAATAAGAGAAAATCAATAGCTGCCACAGAGGAGCCACTTGTGCAAAGTGAGGAAAATTAAAAAGACAGGGATAATGAACTGAATGAAGCTGCCTTTAGATAACTGTGCTGATGTTAGCTATCATGACAGTAGAGAAGTCATAAGGGAGAAAACAGCAAAACTAGGATGCTCTTAAAGTGGTGCTTACAAGTTTTGATTGTAAGTCAATCCTTCATCCCTAAATGTCTCCTTGTTTTTTTTGTATTTTTTAATTTATCTTATTTTTTAGTTAACATACGAATAAGCAGAAATTAAAAGATAATGCTAGGTCATCTTTTGATTTCAGCTACAACAGCTAAAACCCTGGAAATCCATTGATTTGACATATATTAATGAGGTTTTACACTCTTTATTCAAAGTAAACATTGTGAACTGACTTTCCGATTACCTCCAGCAACAACAAATATTTTGCGACATGAATGGGATGTGTGGGAGGAAAATATCACTTAGGTATAATCGTGATCCACGATCGACATGAATATATAAATATTGTGAATACACGGTTATATTTAGCATCATATAAATGATACTGTTAAGCTTTTATTTATGTATTTTTGGATGATTGTATGTGTAACATTAATTCCCCATTTGTTTCCTTTTTCTTATTACAATGTTTTTATTGTTATATTATGATCATTTGTTTTGTTATTGATTTGTTTACTGTTATCTAAGAACTACTAATAAAAATATTTGAAAAGAATGAGTAATCAGGAGCATGATCTCTGGCAATCTTTGGCAGACTGAAGTTAAGCAAAGTTCCATTGGAGTTGTTAAATTACTTTACTAATAATCAGTCAAAAGAATGCCACAGAAGGGCAACCAGCAGACGGCATAAGTTGTACAGCGCTATGGAATTTGCTAGCGCTATATAAATAATAAAATAATAATAATGTAAGAGAACAAATGGAGGTGGCCCAGGTATTGTACTAAGGAGCACTTGACCACTGAAATTATCAAGTTTTGGGAATTCAAAGTCAAACCTAGAATTTTCATTGCTGTAGAATAGAAAGAAGCATATTGAGAGGCACTCATCAAATTACCAAATGCAGGTAAATTGTTTAGTTTGTATTTACAAGAAAAATGAATATGGCATCCACAATTAACGTGTAACGGGTAAAAAAAAAAAAAAATTTTAACTGTCATGTGCATTTTGTGTTTTCTGGCTGTGGTCTCTGGAATTATTTTTTGAAAAAAAAATATATATATACATATATATATATTTGAAATATATGCAAAATATATAATGTTTGGGAGAGACGTTGTAGATATGTAATCTCTGCACATATAGACCCACAACAATCCTAAAGAGTGATACCGCTGAAGAGTGATACCATAAAATGGAAATTATTGAATAAGTTAAGTAAATACTGGGGAAAAATAAGTTAATGGAAGGAAAGTGTGGGGATTGGGTTTAATCATGTATGGAATGCATGTGTCACAGACCCATTTGCAGTCGAGTCATCTCCCAGAAGCGGATCTCTCAGGCATGCTATTCCATTTACTGGCTGGTAGTGTATTTATATATTTACCCCATAGGGACCAATAGTTGTGTGGCTCTCTTTGTGTGATGGGGTCCATGCATGAGTTTTTTGTTACTTAAATCCAATTTTGAGATAACAATTTTGAGGTTGTACACGGAAATCACATTTTGAAGTTTTTTTCTTTCCGAAATGTGCAAGACCACATTCAAATTGGACCTATTGTAATTAAATTTAATTGCCTCAAATGAACTTTAAGTTGTTAATTAAAGGGACACTCAAAGTACCATAACCACTACAGGTGCCAACTAAGAGAAAGTAGTCAAAATGCCCTTACGGGGAAAGTAGTCAAAGGTTTTAGTACCTGGAGTGGGCCGTGGCTCTTGAGTCTGTGTGTGCTGCCACGGATGCACACTTGTGCTTACGCCAGCCATCTTTTTGGTTGTCAGGTCAGTTTTGCCACTGTTCCCAGGTCTCACATGACTTGAAAACTGTGCAAATTGGATGAGAACAGCATGTTGGTTCCATCTCCCAGGCTCCTGCTCTCTTCCTAAACACCTCACTGGGGTACACTGAGTTAGCATAAAGATGGCTGTTTACTGTTTACTGCCCATTGGTCCTGTTTGATCCTCTCTGGGTGACGACTCGGGTGTTTAGTATGCACTGCATCACCCATTTTTTTGTGAGCCTCTATGGTGGCTGTATTCAGAATTTTACTTGGCTTTTACGTGTCTGCGAGCATCTGTCTAAAAAGAGAAGCCCAAGATTATTCACTTCCTGAGCAAAACATGTCCCTTACCACAGAACGCCAAAAGGTGATTCTATTAAAGACTGAACCCAAATTAGTTAATATGGCCCTCAATGGGCCCAGTGTGGTGGCTAAGGGTTTAGTGTTTTGGGACATGTTTGTAAAAGATCTTAAAGCATTTGTCAAAAGATTCACCAACTTGGACAAGCTGCAGAACAGTATCAAGAGGGTGTTTACACCTAAGATTTATAGAGGTGCCAGAAGAGCTAAGTGCCATCTCTCTAGCTATGATTCCTGTGAATCCCTTTGGTAGAACTGAGGCTCCTCCCAGACTCCAGGTCCATACCCTTCTTCTCCTCACGGAAATGACTTTGGGCTTTTCACGTGTTGCACTTCCCCGGAAATGATCTTATGGTTGGTCCTCCCTCAGTTTTCTCAGGTTTGAGCAATAGTAACCTCCAATGTGTGCGTTCTTCAACTCGTAAAGGATTATTTTCTGGAATTAGTGTCTCCCCAATACAAGATTATCTTCCTCTGGAATCTGTTTATTCCTATCTTGATGGCGCGTTGGTCACCCATAAGATTGCCAAGTTACGGGCTAATGACGCCATCCAACAGATCATTTTGACTACTACAATTTGCCTCAATAAACAACCTCTCCCTTCTCCTGAAAAAGGGTGGTGGTGTTCTCCCAGTCATCAATTTGAAACCCCTACAAGCCTTTGTAGAATACCACCATTATAGTATGGGAAGGATCCATTGCCTTCAGGATCTATTGTTACCTTCTAATTGGTTGGTCAAGCTGGACCTGAAGAATGCTTACCTGATGGTACCAGTCATGGAGGAAAATGTAAAATTCCTCCAATTCACTTGGTGCAGAACCAAATGGCGGCACTTACCTTATCCGGGGTCCTCAGTCCTTCTTCCACACGAGCCGCGTGCAGCTCAATCTTCCCTTCTGAGCAGGCTGCATGCACTGACCACAATGAGTGGTCACACGGCCCGCCTGGCACTAGGAGCGTG